TTAAAATCATTGATGTAGAATATTTGATTCCTTATCATCAGTTCCATTTTCCTTATTCACAGTGTCTCTTTTCTTGGTCTTTTGAGTTTCTCTATGTGCATTCTCTTCCTTATTGCTCAAATGATGAAGCACACACACTAAAGCTTTTCCTCCTTTAATAGCCTGTGGCCTGGATGAGAAGGTAGCTATTCCAGACATAGTTTGGAGGATTTGATTAAATAACTCCTCCTAAAAAAGGAAAACAGCCAAAGATTAGTATAAAATCAGTGTCTTTGATGCTTTCTAGCATTAATGGTCTAACAGTCATAAAAACTAGCATTCTTGAATTGCTGCAACTTGAGTAGCTAATTAGTTCATACATGTCTGGTTAAGTTGATTGAAATCTGTACTCCACGTAACTGAATTAACATACTGAAGGCTTGATAGTCTTACTTCTCCATTCTGTGACAGCTCTACGGGGCTATATTTGGTCCCAGACTACCCTCTCCCAAAAACAGGTACAAAGCACTGAGTTTGGACAGTGGCAAAGTATCTCCTTATACCAAAAATGTTAGCCCAGTGCAGTTCCCAACATTCACTCTAACACTCACTAACACAGAACAACTTGGGTGATTACAAAAACATATACCTGGGCTACAGAAATTCTGAATCAGTTGAGCTGGGAACTAGCTAGGCCTAAGTGACTCTAACGTGGAGCTAGGGTCAAGACCACTGTATTAATGCTGCGTTTAGTGGATGATAAAGTTATCTGCCTTTTAAAAGCAAATTAGATATTCCATAAACTTATCTTGAAGTTGTCAACTGATCCCCACTTTCTGGAAGAGAGTTTGACTGTATGAGACTTCTCATGAGCACTTATGAAGAGGAAACGAGATGAATCTTACTTCTTGTTTGTTGGGGGCCTGAAGCTCCACACCCCTTCTTGTGAGACTGCTCCTACGTGACAATCTGCTCAGATGGCCATGCTTTACATGATAACTGCCTCGAAATCTTTATGCCAGAAACTGATTGCTCCTGGCTATGCAAGTTAATTTGCAAGTGACCTTTTATCCTTCTCTAGAAACTGTTTAACCATAAACATTCTGGGTGGCAACCTTTACTTTGAATGTCCTGTCTTTGTCTCTCCTCAAGATATTATCATATCTTTACATTCCAGACCCTTTGCAGCATGCCTGCCTTCTCCTATATAAGATGTAACCTAAGAATCAATAAACGAGACTTGATCAGAATACTGTCTTGTCTCAATTTCTCGTGTCTCTTGTCCCATCCAATTCCCACTCCCCCCTCCAGGGTCTGCGTTGAATATCCCGCGGGTCGGGACATTTTTGGCGCCCAACGTGGGGCCTGGATACGGGGGACAAAGTGAGGAAGAAGGCGCATAGGAGGGTCGACCACTGAAAATGAAAGAGTAAAACCTTCATCCGCCGCGGGAACCTGCTGCGTCAGGATAAGGTGAGTAAGAGCGCCTGATAATGGGACAAGAATTAAGAATTAAGAATCAAAAATTAAGAATTAAGAATTAAGTTGTCATGACGTGTACATAAGACAGTTACAAAAAGCTTTAAAGACACGAGGAGTAAAGGTTAAAACAAGTGATCTATTAAGATTTTTTGATTTCGTGAAGAATTTTTGTCCTTGGTTCCCAGAAGAAGGGACTACTAATTATAAAAGGTGGTCTTGAGTTGGAGATATCTGTGGGTTCCGGGGTGCTGAGGATAGAAGCTGAGATAGCAGAGTGTGAGATATTAGTGGCCCAGGAGACAAAAGTGGAGACTTCAGGGGTCTCAGGGCCAGAGGCTGGTGAGGCAGGAGTCACAGCATGAAGAAGTTGCAGATAAGTTTTTCTGTTAAGAAAAGAGAATACAGTGCTAGGAAGTGTAAATAGCGAGCAGCTTACTAAGATATTGCTTAGCGTTTTAGGTTTGTAATTTTGATAATGTTAAAAGATATGAGGAAAAAGGAAGACTTAAAGCTTGAGAGAAGAAAAAAAAATGCTTATAGAACAAGACGGAGGTTGAGAATGAACCTTTTTCATGGAAAGAAAAAAAAAATTCTTTAAAAAAGATGTTGAAAGGAAGAACAATGGAAAATTCCCTATCTAAGAATAAGAGCCTTTTTCAGATTTTGTTAACCGGCTAATGACAACAGCAGATAGGTTGTTAGGCAATGCAGATGCCAATCTTGATTGCATAAAACAATTGGCTTTTGAAAATGCTAATCCTGCATGCCAGGTGGCCATTAGGCCCTGCAAAAATAAAACTGACCTTCAAGGATATATTCGTCTTTGCTCGGACATTGGCTCCTCTTATCAACAAGGTTTAGCCATGGCCGCAGCCCTCAGTGGACAAACAGTAAAGGATTTTTTAGCTAATAAAGGCCAAAATAATAAAGGTTGCTTTAAATGTGGCAAGCCTGGTCATTTTGCTAAAAACTGTCAGGAATACCAGACAAAAGCCGTAGTCACCAAGCCTCCTGGACTTTGCCCACGATGTAAGAAAGGAAAACATTGGGCAAATGAATGTAGATCCAAAACTGATGCTCAGGGAAATCCCTTACTGTCCCCTCAGGGAAATGGGAAAAGGGTCCAGCCCCAGGCCCCGAACCAAAGGGGGGCTATCAAGTTTCTCTCAGCCAACAATAACAATCCGTTTCAAATCTCACTAGAGCAACCCCAGGGAGTGCAGGAATGTTTAGTTTGCCACCTCAGGGTCCTCTCATCTGATTCAATTTCACAGACCAGTAAATGCTTTCTTTAAATGGAGGAGATAAACATACAGGTGCCAATTTTTTACTTGCCAATTAAGGGTATTTACAACCTGAATGCTTCCCTTTATTGTTACCATCATTTGATGAAAGAACGCTAGAAGAATGATTGTTTAAAAGGATCAAGTTTAGCTCTGTGATACACTTGGTTTCCTCATTTCCTTCTGGCGTGGGCCCATGGCTGGGGAGCACTCTTCTCATGCCACTCCCTCTGATGCTCTCCCTGCTGCTATGGGACCACACAGACTGCATCCGACAGGAAGCTCCCTACATCCTGTGCTCGCTCACTCTGTCCACAAGTCCCGCCTACTAGCACATCATTTTAAAGGGAAAAAACAGGCTACTCAAAGGTGTTGGGACAACTGAGAGTTTTCAGATGGAAAAAAGTGAGATCTCCCCAGGTGGATTAATGGTCTAAAGGTGAAAAATACTTTAATACAAACAGAAGGAAAGGCGATAGAGTTTGTGACTCAGGATAAGGGAAGGATTCCATTAAGCAAAGACTGATAATTTTCCTACTTCAAATTTATAATGCTACGAGGTAATAAAAAAGGTGTTTTTTAAGTGAAAAATCTGAATGGGATAAAGTTCTTGCATCACGTAGAACATGGAACCCAATAACTTTGGAAGAAAAATAAACCATCTAAGTAGAAAAATAAGGGACTATGAATAAGTAAATCACAGAAGAAAAAACTCA